AATTAAAGAAACTGACCGTTTGGGAAGATGAAATGTTTTATGACAGCTGATTTTATAAAGGTTGTGTTCATTGATTAAACCAGACAAGTGAGTGTGTTTAACACCTCTGTTAAAGGACAGACTGAACTTCCTGTTACATAAAACAAGAAGCATGTAAGAGACACTGTAACTGTAAGATTGAGGCAAGAGTTCAGGGAAGGAAACAGAAGATGAGAAGAAGAAGAAGAAGAGAGGAGGAATCTCTGCATGCGACAAAGAAGAAAACAGACCAAGGACCAAATTAAAAACAACTGAGAAGGTCATGTAATTATAGATAACTGTGTGTTTTAGGCCAATTTGAGGAACCTGCACGCGGCTACAGTCTGCCTCTATAAATAAAACTATTTAGTGACAGCAGCAGGCACTCCATTCAATCTTTCATGCTTTCCTTCTGCTGCTTCTGTCACTTGAGTTAGAAAACTAGTTTAATGAGTCCGTTGACTGTGGTGTTTCGTCACCTCTGGAAACTCATCTGTATCCACGGCAACACACGTCCCCATAGTTTCAGCACCACTGTCGCTTCTCATCTCCTTGGTAACACTGGGACAAATCAGCATGTCAGCAGCATTGCCTAAACTTGCCTCCACTGAAGCCGTTTCCATGGTAACTACAGTACCAATCGCTGCTGTACGGTAGTTGTTTCCATAGCAATAGTCTCTCTAATTATCATAGTAACACAGCTAGATCATTATGAAAATCAAAGACTGTGGCTGTATTTGTTTCATGAATTTTACCCTTAATTATATGGAAATATTTGATATGAATACAACATGATATTATAATGATTTGTGTTACTTTACTGTATCGAACATCATGTAATTCAGACTCATTTTATCACAATAAATACTAAATGCACACTTGCAGTGCTGCAGCCGTGCATTTCCTTAACAAACAAACGTTCACTTTGAGTCACAAATGTAAACAACATTTAGGTTAAGTCAGTTTTTTCTTTCTTCTTAACTGTGTCTGTTTGTCCAGGTATCTGCTGTACCTCCAGCTGAAGAGAGATATCTACCATGGTCGTCTCCTCTGTCCTTTTGCTGAAGCTGCATATCTGGGAGCCTGCATTGTACAGGGTGAGGTCTAGTGACAACCAGACGATTTTATACTGACTTACTGACAGTGAATTTATTGGTGATTTAGCATGTTGACAGGTATATTTGATTTTTAAGAGTCATACATGGGTACAAGCAGCAGCTCTACAGGGTTTTCCCCCTTGCTTTGCTGCATTTTCACTACTTTGAACAAAGTGCAAACATTGCTTAGTAAACTGTGCTGTTGTTGATGTAAACATGATATTGGTGATGGCCCCTGGCAGATTCATAATATATCACAGTTTTTAATACTTTAGCAGTTTATCACTCTGTGTGCTGCATTCTTACTGTAAATATCGTTGTCCAACATGTTAAAGGAGTTATGGCAGATGTTGGTGGCACATGGCCTGTTTAATTTTAGTGCTGAAATCATCTCAAATTTTGTCGTGGGGATGTCACACCCTTACATACTGCATATAAAAATATAAATATATAAAATCTGCATATATAACACACACAACACAACACATCACATGTTGTAACATAACAGCCAACAATTGAATAGGGTATTAAACTTACCTGGTAATCCTTTGTAGATGTATTTTTATATCGTTTTATTTTTATACTTGAGGTATACATGGATACCTTTGTGTTTCACAGTTTAGAGTTTAGCATTTAGCATTTGGGATATATCGTGTTATTTATAAGAAATATAATCACAAATCTCCCAGCAGATCATTGTTAAACAGCATTATGATCATGTGTCAAGTCTGATATGTCGACCATGTTTCCTTTTATTTCTTTTTGGCCTACTCTTCCACCTGAACTTATCATAAATTAGTAAGCTAACAGTTAGGTACAGCTGTCAGTTACAGGGTGTAAATATTTAGTACAACTAATTTGGTGCAAGCTGTTAAGATTAAGTGTTGCGTAACTTTAAATCTCCGCTTAATTATCATTTACAGAATATCATAATTTAATGTGAAAGAAGAGCTGGTGCAACCCGGCAATCTGGCAATCAAACCAATCAGTCCATTTGTCTGGTCTCTGCCCCATTAACTGACTACATTTCAACTCATTAGACTGGTAATCCTACATTTTAAAACACTACAAGAAGAAATAAGTGAGAATTTCTCTTCAGTTAATTAGCAGTAACAGTGCAGAGCCACTTGCTTTATTATGGATTAAGAGCTGAGCTGTATCATATGAATGAACCCTTCTGGCTCATACACAAATCATTGAACTGTGCAAACACTCTCCGATTGGCTCATATCCCCAGAGAGCAGAGTGTGACTGGCTGCGTTATCTCAACCCAGAGTGTGTCTGCGTCGTATCATTGGCTATGCTCTGATTAACGAGGGCAGGTCCCTGTCCCACTTTGTCAGGGTGTTGATTACGGAGCTGGAGAATAGGTTGAGGATTACTGTTTAATTAAACTCCAGGCAAGTATTTGATTTAACCTTTATTATGACTGCTAATTAAGAACGGGTTTAACCAAGAAATTAGTGTCTGTTAGGACTTTGTACTGGATTCAATAAGGGACATATTTATCTCTCAGGCTTTTTGGGTATTTTCCCCCTGTGGAAACAAAACTATTATCAAAAAGATCTCTCTTTAAGTCTTTGTTTGGGCTTGAGCAGATATGCTGATGACAAAAAGCTGTTAAAGGAATAGTTTAACATTTTTTGGATGTTACGTTTTTTTTTTTTTTGGTGGAAAGTTAGATGAGAAGATTGATACCACTCACATCTGTTTGTTTAATATAAGGCTAAACCAAACAGCTAGTTAGCTTAGCATACGGACTGGAAATGGGAAAACAGCATGCTTGGTTCTGTCCAAAAGTAACAAAATCCACCTGTAACCTCGAAAACTCACTAAGTAAAGCTGCAGTAGGTAACTTTTATAAAAATAACTTTTTGTCATGTTTTCTGAAACCGGTTGTTTTCATCCAGGCCCGGTGAAGTTTCAGCAATGTGACAAAACATTAATATAAAAAATGGTGTTGGCCATGTCGGACTAATTCCTGGCACTAAACAGTTGCCATGCAAACAGCAGAGACTCCAGGAAGTTACTGTTCCTGACCAAGAAATAGCCCAAATAGTCTGGCATATAAACTCATAAAATGGCAATTTTTTGTGTTTACAGTTTTACAGTTTTTGTACACATTAAATAAACAAGATATATTGTGTTAATTAATTAGCTTTGGAGGTTCTGGTAGGTAGATGTTGTTGCCTTTGGACAGAGCCAGGCTAGTCTTTATGCTAAGCTAAGCTTATCGTCTGCTAACTCCAGCATCTTCTCTCCACCACAAAGCACATAAGTATATTTCTCAAAATCATTTATTTAGCATGTTTAATTGCTACTGCTTGAAAATGTTTATTTGTTACTTTCAAACAGATATACACACGCACATTTAACCAGGGTTGTAGACCATTTTCACACTAATGTCACCCTCTGTCTTCAGCTGAGCTCGGGGACTACGACCCAGAGGAGCACCCATCAGACTACATCAGAGACTTCAAGCTGTTCCCTAAACAATCCCTCAAACTGGAGAGGAAGATTATAGAAATACACAAGAACGAGCTCAGGTAAAAGAGATGTGTGTGCGTGTGAGTCTGCTGCGGTTGTTTGTTGTCTGCAGCAGCGTCTTTGTTATCAGTTTACTGTTTGATTTTGGTGACAGGCGTGGATGCTCACTCCTGTGATCTGTTTTCAAAACATACAATTTCCTACTCTGCAGACAACAAAGTGCTTTCTGTCTTTCTGGCTAGAGACAAAATTGGATGATACCCAGACATTCGCAGAAGGTATTTCAGTTTAGATTCAGCTGAAAGTAAATGAAAACTCAAATTAATTTGCAGGGAAATGAGCATGAATTATTTATTTCAAGCTTGTTTTGGACACCTTGCTTGTTACCATGAGATTTTTTCAAAATTTAAATTTGGATGAAAATCAACCTTACAGGATGGATGGAGTAAAACATGAGCTAAACCCAGACCTGATAAATTAGATGTCCTCTCTTTGTTCGAGGAGATAAATCGGCTGTGGAATACATTGCAATATAAGGAAGAGCGGGACATTAATGCGTTTCCGCATAGATATACAGATGATTCAAAATAAAAAAGATAAACATGTGTTAAAATTAATGTCCCACTCTTAATCTTAAACTGTACTCTGCACAGACAGAATAAGTTCTTTAAATCATAAAATCACATGCAGTAACGTACATGAAACCCCCTCCCTCGGGTTGTGTGTGTGTATTTGTATCATCGCTGCAGCTCATGAATCATGTTGTTAGGTTTGCGACCGTCACACTTACAGCGATTATAGAACATCAAAGACAAATCCTCCATTTCCCACAGCACAGAGGCAGATGATGCTCAGTGCCCTCCGTCTGCCCTGATGGGTCTGACGAACGGGATTAACAACATGTAGATTACTGCTGAGCCATAGAAGGAGACTTCAGGTGGTTTACAAATAGGATGGGGTGGACTGTGTGTGTCTGTGGGTTGTACTCAAGCAGTTCTTTAATGGGTTTAGCATTGTACGCAGTTTTAATGTTTATTTATTTGTCTGGCGTCAGTGTGAGCAGCAATGTATATCACTCAGTTTCTTGACTTTGCAGCATTTCCACACTCCCACTGAGCATGTGACCTCTTTTGATGTGTCTGTTTCTGCAAAATGTTAAAACATTATCAAAATTTGGGCCAAATGTAATGATAATAATAATTTAGTGAAACATGCAGAAAAACTAAAGTTTTCATTGTTAAAATTTGTACTGGAGACAGCAACAGTTTCTCTCATCTCATGTTGACATTGTGGTTTTCTCTCACTTTAAAGCCTGTTGTCAGCTGTTGGTGTCAGTGCTCTCTCCCTTCAGGCCATGAGTCCATATTTAGGATGGACACTGAGAAATCATTTGAGGACACACAAAAGACACATAAGAAGTCAGTTCATGCTGCTATTGTATGTACACACAATAATAAAAATAGATGAACTGCAGACTATAAGTGCCCTTTTTGACTCATTGTGGAAAAATACGAAAAAGATAAATTGAATCACCACAAAGGCATTACCATACCTTTTATTTGTATAGCAAATCATAAGACAAGTTATCTCAGGACACGCAGGTCTACCGTATTCCTTATAAAATGATTTACAGAGACCCAGTTCCCACCATGAGCAAGGACTTAGTGACCGTGGCAAGGAAAAAGTTGCTCTTACGACGCAGAAACCTTGAGCAGATAATGACTTGAATGAAAACATCCGTAATAATGATGATTTAGTTTCATAACCAAACACAACAGCACCAACGTGTTGATTTTAATACAAAATGTTCCTCTCCTCTCTTTTAGGGGCCAGTGTGCTGCATTAGCAGAGTTGAACATGCTCCAAAGGGCTCACAGTCTTGAAACGTATGGAGTTGACCCCCACCCATGCAAGGTAACATTAGTGAAGAATGTACACTTTAATCCAGTCTGGCTGTAAAACCGGCTGCTGTTGATATTGACACGGTCGCACTGATCAAAGTGATCATAATTAACCCAAAATTATTGACGCATTTTGTTGATCAAAAATATCTCACTGTCTTATAGACCCTCCACCTCATGTCTCCACCTTTGTCACAAATTGTTCACTGTATACGCAGTATGTACTGTGTACTGTACATGTATGTATACATACATAATGCCTTAAAACATAATTTCTGGTATATAATAATTTCCACACAGACCTTTAACTCATTTATTATACAAAGTCATTGGGGCAGTTACTCTGATCATGTGACACTGAAACTTATGGTTGCGGTTATAGCAATTATTAATACAGTCCTCTCTTAAGTAAGAAGTTACGCTGTCTGTTGTCACTGTATTCTGATGTTTTTTATTTTTAATCTGCATCATTATAGATGAAAAGCTTATTTCAGTTGCAGCCATTCATGCACGGATGTAAATATTCACCAAAGTTGTTCATGCAGTTGTGTGGAAGTACAAGTACTGGCTTATGGGTCTGTGTCTCTTTACTCTCTGCTTGTTTGCCCTTAATTTACATATTAAACAAACTACTACACACATGATTAACTTGACCGACAGCAGCCTTTTAGCAAACCTGAGAGTTCACCAAGAGAAGAGTGAGGAAAGGTCAGTGACCATCATCAGATCCAGTCAGCTGCTAGTTTACATTTGCACCTTTGGAAAACATCCTGGTCAACAAAAGTATATTCTTATTGACTGGTTAGAGAAAATCATCAAGTCACTGTCATTAAATCTTCATCGTGAAGATCTACAGTTAGTACTATGGTTCCTTTGATAAAAATACAGCTTGTGCTTTATTCTTAGAGTTTCTCTTGGACTGTTGTGACGGATGAGACAGACTGAATCTGAACAAAATATTTTACAATTCCCCCATTCTCACCCTCATCCTTGAAACAGGGACACCCTCCTATGGAAAAGCTTGTCAAAGCATGCTGCCCAGATAAACAAGATATTTAAATTCTGTCTATTGGAGAGGACCCCCTTTATCTGCAGTGGAGCAGTGTTTTTAATTTGGTTTGCTGGAAATGGCTGTTATTGCTGGAGCCGAAACATCGTGCACATGCGGAAACATGAAGATTAAGAATCAGAGAAAGTAAGCAAGACAATGTGGAGAATACAGAGTGATGATAGAGATACAGAGAGGTACGCCAGCAGAGGAAAGGAGGTCTACAGATGATAAGCAACGATGTGGGAGAGTGACAGGAACATATTGTTGTGTTCCGCTCTTACTCTGTTGTTGATATTGTTTTCATTTCACCTCAATATATCAAACTGAGTGTACCTGTTCTGCATTTTCTGTGCCGTGTTCTTGATGCCAGTTACTGCAAATTGGGGGTTGAAGTTTGAAGCAAACAAGTGATTTTTGAGTAGGTGCCATTACCATGGAGATTATTGATGGCCCACTTGCCTCCCCGCTGGTAATCCACCTGTATCCTATATTGCCATGTGCTGCCTCTCACTCTGCATGTTTGTGTGTGTGTGTTTGCAGGATTTCACAGGCTCCACAGCCTTTCTTGGGTTCACAGCCACAGGGTTTGTGGTCTTCCAGGGAAACAAGAGGATCCACCTCCTGAAATGGTACAAAATTGTCCCTAATTCTTGAATATAAACCTGTAAGGATGGAAATTAAATGTGTAGCCTCTATTAAATGTAATCATAACATACTCTCACTCTATGCTTCATCTCAAATTTAATATTTACTTTAGCAATTTAAAATGACTGAAATTGTCATGGCGGAGCTTTCTTCTGAATAAATCAGTTACTGTTAATATGACAGTCCAGTGTGTAACATTTAGGGGGATATATTGGTAGAAATGGAATATAATATTCATAGGCATGTTCTCATTAGTGTATAATAAAAGAATTGTACTGGCCACCATAGTTTCTCCTTCGCACTTGGAAAGGGAGGGTGAAGCGAGTGAGTTTCAGTCTGCAACTACACAGCCAGATGCCACTAAATCCTACACACTGGTCCTTTAAACTCAATGAAACTTCATATTGAGATTATCTTGATTCATTAATTTGATGAACATTTAGCAGCTTCCGACAGTGTTTTGGTTGTATGTTGTAACTGTTAGGTACACAATGACGTTCACTAATACACCATGTATTAGAAATGATGCCTTTGCACTCACAGCTTTTCTTAAGTAAAAGAACATAAGAATTAACAACAAAATGTACGTTACGTATCAGAAACACTTGTTATGCAGTGTGAGCCTTTCTAGAGTGTTATACTGTTACATATGTTATGTAATTAGATTATTACGAATGTGTTAATGTTTGTGGACATTTAATGTTGCAGCTGGTCAACAATTTCTTACTATTTATGTATTTTTTGGTATTTTAATCTATAACAATGCTTCATATTTTAGGATGGTTATATGCTTTAATAGAAACTTAAATCTGAAATTCAACTAGCATATACATAGCTGTGAAATAAAGGTAGTGGAGTAAAAATAATAAAGTATCAATATCATATAATGTAAGTACAAGTAAAGTACCACCAAAATTGTATTCAAGTACAGCAGGTGTAAATGTAAACAAGCCTAAAAATGCTAAAACTCACTGTATATCATGACTTTAAGGACACAGCTTTGAATTAAAAGTAATTATACCACCTTTGATCATATCCTGAAGAGTCAGGTTTCTGATCTTAGAATATAAATTTCCTTCAGTCAAATTTGTTTTTATTATTTAACTTTAACGCTGATCATATTTTTTACTTATTCTTCTTTGCAGGAATGATGTTAGCAAGCTGAAGTTCGAAGGGAAAACCTTTTACGTTATTGGGATACAGAAAGAGGTGAGTGCAGTGTCCTCCTGCATCCACTTTCTCCTCTAAAGGGTCAAACTGAACAATAAAATGTGCTGTGTAGTTTCCTCCATCACGATGATGAATTGTGTAGTCTTGTTTACTAAAGCCGTCATCATCATACTGACCTGTTAGATCTCAACCTCTAATATTTATCAAGAGGAAAAAAAGACTTTGATGTATATGCACAGTTATTGTCTGTGTTCATTTGGATTCAGTTTTATGTTAGTGACTGCTTTTGACCTCCAAATGTACTGTACATCCTTTGTTCTCTTTCCTCCTGCCTTTCCTTTCCCCCTTTCTTCATCTGTGCAATGGTTACATCAGATAAATGTGCTATGAAACTGTACTGTTTGTCTATGTAATCCTGTCCACCATCACACACACTGTATATGTGTGTCACTGTTTCAGATCTCCTTAACAGGCAGGATTCACTGTAACAGGATGGTGGGTGTGTTACAACTAACCTCCTCACTCACATTACGTGTCGACTGTGGCCCAAATATGAGACTCCTTCACTGCATACGCGTTAGGACTTGGACAAATATAAATATATATGACGTCTCTGCTTGAAACTTGACAGAAACAGCGAAAACTTAAAGGCTTAAAATGTGTGTTAAATTACAACCAGAACAGGTGTCTTGCATTTGGGACACATGTTTCATCTGTACGCTCGATGTTTGTCATCCAGTCCGGAGCTGTGGTAGATTCTGGGCGTTTTTTGGGTGCATTGTGCCTTAGATATGTACATACCACCCTTATTTAGCAAGAACAACAGCTGATTGTGTCTCATGTTGCTGTTTGACACATTAACTCATATTGATGCAGTCAGAGGTGCCTTAAAAAATACTTTGTCTCACTGTAGTTAAAGCCAGGCTGCTCTTTAATTTACCTATGAGCCAGTCGATCAGTCTCATAACTATTCTTTTACAGAAGCTCAAACCAGCTCTCTCATCTCTGCTTAACTTGTCAGTCTGTCTGCCTGTTTGTCTGTTCGGCAACTCATGAATGGCTGAAGATGCAGTTTTATCTTTGTGTTTCTGTCTCTTCTCTCTGTGTGTAAACATAGTCATCACTGGTGAGTAAATACAAGTAATAATAGCAGCACAAAACATTCTTCTACTTAAATCCTCAATTTGATGCCTCTCCCCACAGTCCTGCCCTCACCTCACTTTATGATTGGAGGAGCCTTTTTCCATATTTTCTTTAATTATTTGGTTGTTTGTGTCATTTTGTTTTGTTGTAAAGTTGTCTGCATTGTTAGTTAATTCAGTTTATTTCTTACTTTTCAGTTTTTAGCTCATTTATTTTGCGTCTTTGTCACTGAAAATATTAATTTTTATGGTTTAAATTTAAATTATAATCCCCATTCTGTGCAACTTTTCCCCATAAACTCATTGTCGAAATAAGCTTCACTGCTCCATTATCAGTAAACTATAGATTATGATGTATAATCTATAACTCTGTCCATTTTGTATATTTATTGTCAGAAAATTTCATTCAACTTCCTTTTGACTGTATATGTGTGAGTGTGTGTGTGAGTGTATTCTAAGATTTTTCACTGTATTTTATCAGGATTTGAATCATGAATTGATGTGTAGTTTGTTCTTCCACTGTGTGACAGGTCACTGCATGATTTCACTCTTTGCCCTCACCTCTGTTATTTAGCCTGGAACACATTAACTTAACTCTCCCACTTTGAGCTGATGGCAACTTTTAATGGCTTTATGACAGTAACACTTGCCTGAAATGTCTTTTAAACAGCACTTTATCTATTTTATCATATTCTCTAGTCACCTATTGGTGTGCCAGCTTAAAACAGATGTTAATGGTTGATTTAAATGGGTTTAACCAGGAGATAGCAGTTGAAAAGTAACCAGCAGATGATTGTATCCCATTGATTGATTTATTGGAAAGTTATTTCCATAAGTGCTGTTACTACTCTGTGTAATACTACAGTACATAAAAGCACATTTGCATGTCAGTCAAAGTGGGAGCAAAGGCAATTTGTTAATAATATTTTAATATGCAATTCTGGTACTTTCACACACACATGGCCACTGCAGCACATGTGTGTAAATCACAACTACCTAATATAACTGATGTGTGACACTGAGGGGGTTGAGCAATAAAGCTGACTTTAGGAAAGGAAACAAACTGGATCAGTGCACAGCCGTAAACTGTGTGGTGAGGTTTTCTGAACCATTTTATGATCCAATCTTTTTCTTTTTTAAGATTTATAGGTATTGCGTACCATGGTTGTTGCTGTTCTACAGTAACTCACTCCCATGTTATTGATCTTAGTGTTTCCTCTCTCCCTCTCTCGCTCACCCTCTACCCTCGTTGTAGAGCAGCATTGATCTTGTATCTCGTGTTACCAGGCACACAGGAGTGAAAATTAGACATTTACAGGAATATATCCCTCCTCTTAGTCCATAAAGACCTGTGTTCTGCAAGCTACAAGCCCTTTTTACTGCTGAATGCTTTGGCCAAATCACTATATCTGTCTCACATCTTGTTAAGCTTACAGCATTGGGTCTGTGGGTCAGCATTTTGCACAGCTCCCTCTTATCATGTTCAGCACTTCTCTTGTCCTTATTCACACCTAATCCAATTTCTCATACTCACTGTCTTTCTCTCTCTCTTTGTGTCTTTGTCCTTTTCTGTGCAGAAGAAACTGGTGTTGACATTTCACACCTCAACCCCTGCAGCATGTAAGCACTTATGGAAGTGCGGGGTGGAGAACCAAGCCTTTTACAAGTGCGTCTACATACTCACACACACACACATACACACACGTATTCAGGAAATCTATTGAGCTGCTATTGAACTCAGAGACCCTGGAGACAGAATTATTCCACCAAAAAAGAAATGGTTAATGTTGTAGGTAAAAAATGAGGAACGTGAGAAACATAGAATGATCATATATTATAAATCACTTACGAGTGGCTAAATTGGCTTTCCTCCATATTCCTCCATGTTTCCTTTGATTTTTAGCACATTATCGTCTTTTCACCTTATTTTCCTGCCTCTCTGTTGCTCTACTTCAATGTGCTGCTGTCCTTCTCTGGGGAGCAGCTGATCGCTCCGAGGCCGTCGCTCTAAATATTGACTGACTATTGACACTGCCGGCGTGTCAGGAATGGAAACAAGCTCGGGGTAAAGGCAAAAGTGACAGAATGGAGACTAAACTTTACTTTTGTCTGTGGTCGTGGTTGTGACGTGGCTGCGACAAAACACCACAAATGCGCTCTTTGCCTCAGTTAGGGTTCAGTGGGAATATCAACAAAGCAATATATTCCACTTGAAACCTGAACTCGATTCCTCCTTCGAGTACTCCTCTAACCACCGTGACAGATCAGATCACAATGGGATAGATCGCTATAATACTGTTACGTTAACCGTCGTTTCCACAGTCAAGAAAGACCTTTCAGTTTCAATCTTTAAGCCAAAATGTAACGCTGCAACAATTTGTTGATTAATCAATTAGTTAATGAACATCAAATTAATCACCAACAATTTTGATAATCTGTTAACGGTTTTTGACAGTTTTCAAGCAAAAATGCTGAACATTATCTAGTTGCTGCTTTTCCTTGTCATCCATCAAGGTTGGTCAGAGAAAACAAGACATTTAATCATGTCACCGTTTTCTGATGTTTTATAGACCAAACAATTTAGTTTAAAAAAAAAACAATCTGCAGATTAATCAATAGTGAAAATAATCTTTTCAGTGTTGGAGCACAACTACATCTGCTAAGGAAGACTGTCTGACACAGTCCTTGAGTGGACGTTGAGTGGTGAATCTGACAACTGACAGATTTAATTTTCGGGGCTCTCAAGACTTTAAGTGTTTACTCAGGAGTCAATGAAAATCATATCTGTGGACACAACATTTCCCACAAACACCCTGGTTTATAAATTAACTCTGAATCCTTAAAAATATGCATTTAAAATCTGAGAGGACCTCATGTGAGCCCAAAGGAAGACTGAAATAATGAAGACTTGGGGGAGAATTTGGAAACAAACTACAAAGGAGGCAGTGTGAAGAAGGAACAGGACAAAAGGAACCACTGTCTTTAAACAGCGGCTCAGATGTAATGTGGAGATGTCAGGTTGAAGGAGACAAAATTTTCCAAGGAAACACAGGAATTTAAGGTTGCCTTGTGATTGATTTCGTCACGGTGCCCTTGCTCCTTCACACTGTCAATCACTCTGAAGGTCCACCCCTCCATCTTCACTGCAGCCCTAATTGTTCCATACTGTTCACTCATATTTTCTTTTAATCTTTCCACATGGTTTTCCTATGTTATATCTGCTGTATACTCTTTTATATAAAAAATAAATTACATGTCATGTAAGAAAGCTTACAAAAGGAAGACAAGGTTATGAAGTTATAAAAGCTTTCCGATAATAGCCCTTGCCTGTATGACCCTGGGTATTGACTTCTTAATGACAGCAGCTCATGTGTCTCTGAGAGGCGGACAGAGAGGGAGTGGATGTCAGCTCGGATGTCAGACAAGCATCAGAGCAGCTTAATCAAATCAGAGTGAATTGAGTTTGTAAATGGCAGCCAAGCAGAGCTTTGAGAACATACCTCCCTCTCTCAGTCTGTCTGGCTCTGTCACACTAAGCAGAGCAGAGGTGTGCGTTTGCACACTGGGGTTTGGTTTCGCATGATAAATGATCCTGAACCAAACATGAAGGTTTGACCTACAGCATAAACTTTAAAAATGGTGCACCTTGAAACACCCCCCTCTTCGCCCCTCACTGCCAGCCTCTCATTGTTGGTACATTACCTAGAAGTAAAAAGACTTTGTGTCACAGATGCTTTGTAATAATGACGTTCTTTGTTTGCACCTGTTTTTGTTTCCTCTCTCTGACAGGTGTGCAAAGTCAAGTCAGATAAAGACTGTTTCTAGCAGTAACATCTTCTTCAAAGGCAGCAGGTTCAGATACAGGTGAGACAGTATTCAAGTTAGTTTTCATAACACTTTTTCAGACGATACAGTGACGGACAGGATTTTGACTGTAAAAGATGCCTTAAAGGAAAGTGAGCGAGATTGAGAGTGTATGAAGAGAGCTGCAAAACAGAGACAAAGAACAAAAGTGATGCAGGAAAGGGGAAGATACAAAGATACAGAGTCAGCCACTTGAGATGTTTAATGTACCTTGAGCCCATCAACATGCTGCTTCTCCTCTTTGCACATCAGCACCTAAATCCAGCGTGATGGTTTCTGTGATTTACTGACCCTAATATTACAGGAAAGCCTCTGTATAAGTCTGTTATTGAAACCATGTTAGACCCAATTCTCCTCTCAGACAAAGCTCTTTAACAGGCTTACACTACAGTCCGCTCCATTTCATCAGCTAGCTAAAGCAGTTTGGCTTAAGGGCTCAACCATGAGTAACGGCATATGGTGGAATTTGTTCTGAAATACTGGAATTGGTGCAATTTGTCCAAATGCAAACAGGAAAGAGATTTGTGGTCCACAAACAAAGGCAATTTTCATGAAGCAGAGTAGATCGGCTCTTTATCAAGCTTGTGTTGGTTTAGCCGATTGCTGTTCATCATACAGCATTTGCCTGTATAGGCCTATGTTTGCCAGCATGCAGTATTAATGTCCCTTGTACTATCAAGTGGATGCCTACCACCCCAGATGTATCATTTCACCCTCTAATTTACGACCTAACCATCAATCTCAACAACAATAGACTAATGTGTGGGATGGTGGAGCCTGCTGGGTTGAAACCGAGTGGTCAGAGTCGCCCAACAATCAGACTAATGGAGCTACTGACACTTCGTGCTCAGCAGCACAGAAACAGCACTGATTATTAGCAACAACTGCAAGACTCTTCTGACGTCATCCTATCAGTCAGACTCTCATTTCAATTTGAAAATTTATATAAGTGTTTTAACACACAGGTTTAGCAAAAAGTCTTTTAAAACCATGCGAGCCTGACTGAAAGCCTGAGGAGTTCAAGTAAATGTGTACAAGACAAAACAAGAAGTGATCGACTCTTTACTTTGTAAAGCTATTTGTGATTGAGTTTTAAACATGCAACATGGTGAAAGATAATTGACAGTAATTGTACAGCTTTGTCTTTGTTGTAATTAATGTGTGTTTTTCTCTGTTAGTGGAAGAGTAGCCAAGGAGGTGATAGAAGCCAGCTCTAAGATTCAGAGAGAGCCACCAGAGGTGCGCAGGTAAGGACAAGTCAAAAATCACCTGCACTCTCTCAAACAGTTAGAAAACAGTTATTTAAAATTAAGTTATTGCTTATAATACCCCACTACTGATAGATATTACATGGAAACATCTAATTATCAACCATTTAAGGGGCTCAAAATGTGCAAGGAAAGCTAGAGCAGACATACTTTCATAATGCAAGACAATACACACCTCAACGTAACGCACAAAGCAGTCAGTGTAGTTGATGTTTGTGTTTTCAGAGCCCAGTTTGGTCAGAGTCGAAGTTTTAACTCTCTGAGCCATAAAAACCTCATCATGAACATGGAACCGCTGGTACCTGCACTGCCCTCCACCAACGAGTATGAAGAGACAGCCACAGATAATGGTAGGATATTACACAAACACACACACATGCCCTCCTGCTATGAACCTCTGGATAGTCACATGGGGTCTCCCTGGTGCAGGAAGAAGCACATGCACAACCGTCAGACAGAAAGCGTTAATTGAGCAGCTGATGCTCCCATCCCTCCATCAGTCTCGTCTCCCTGGAGACACCAATCGCAGCATACTAAAAATACCCTTGCCATGATCCTCCATGAGTTTACCACCATGCCTGTGAGAGTGTGTGTGTCCATGTGTCTTACTCAGTGTGTGTTTTACAGAGGAAGATTCACTTTGTGACCTCACAGAAACAGAGCCAGCTTATGTTATCATTAAGGAAAACTCAATTAGAAGTTATTTGTTTGGCTCCAAGGGGTCTGTCTCTGTTTAGGTTCTTGTATGCTTCTGCGTTTTTATTTGTTAATTTTCCTGTGTGTGTGTTTATGTGTTCAGTGGTTGCATCATGAAAGTGAAAGACGAGCATATACATGTTAGCTACATCAGCTGGAATTTGACTGTAAAACCTTAGATGTACTGTGTGTCTATGCATAATTTCTCCACAATGTTTTTCCCCAGTGTTTAGCTTTATTTCACAGCCTTTTCCTCATTTAAATCATCTCTTTGATTATTTATAAAGCACTAATGCATACTCATAAGTTCTGCACTATATCTTCCATTTAGGCAGTGTAAGTGAAGCAAATTGAATAGTCTTTCAACCCACTAAGAACTCAGAGGTCATATTTATCATATTTATCACACAAAATATATTTCAACAGTTTGTTATTTCCTGGTAATTTACTTTTTAATTCCTAGAATAGGTTTCCAGGAAAAACATCTTCGTAAAAATACAAATTATAGAGAAAATAGTATAAAAGAAAAACTTAATTTAAATCCAAATGAATATATTCATTTACACTGAATTGCATGCTTGCTTGTTGACAAATTCACACATTTTCATGTTATTGGGTGACTAAAAGACTCCAGGTTTAGCTAGCTTGATTAGAATAAAGAATGGGAAGTGTACTGTGTATTTACTCTATTATTAGCACTGTATTACATTATTTCTCTGAAGGTTTTAGGAGATTGTTTAAGAAATGATGCAGGAGTATGTAGCCATAGTGGTATAATGAGGATGATTGCAGAGGGATATTTCAGTTAAGCTATCCATCAGCTGGCCTGTTGACACCTGGCTCACAGCTGAACTTGGATCAGTTCTCTCCCCGTGAGAGAGTACAAGAGTAGGGTCGGGTTTTTTCCCTTATGAGGTGATGTGGCCGAGCAGAGTAACACTACCCAGGAGAAAACCCAATAAAGCAGCACAGAGTAGTTGGTATTTTAAGGTTTTTTTCCCCAGGACACAACACTGTGCGATTCAGCATTTCCCTTGCGACATTTTTTGCATGTTATCGTTATTCTCTGTCGCTTTTTCTCTCCTTTATTATTCCTGACACTCTCCACTGCAACCTATTATCTGATTGAAGCATAAATCTTGTGGTAAGGGAAGAGAACAGGGTTAAGGTTACACAAGACAAAACGAGAGCCAGGAGGAAAGAGAGGAGTTTAAAGAGATGAAGAGAATGTGAGGGAGGGACAACATGGACAATAGGGCTGAGAGAATAAACAAAGGTTAGGAGGGATGTTGGATGTAAGGATGTACAGGAGGGAGGAGTGTGTGTGTGGCAAAGCATAACAGGAGGAAGTGAGGGTTATTATAACACAAAGGGAAGCTATGGTAGTTGGGAAGATCAGTCATGAATGTGTGTTTGAGTATGCAGTGTGTATAAACGTATAAAGTATAAAACGTTAAACCAAAGTAGCTGGTGGAGCCCTGGGAGGAAGAGAAAAAAGAGACATTAATTGTGAAGCCATTTTATTCCACTAAAGGTCACATTATACTTTAGTCTCACTAATATTTGCACCGACTCCCATTCACTTCTATTGAAGCTCATACGACGGACAAATTCAAGCGTCCATTTCCTGTGTTAGCGCTATCTTGCAGGTTAGAGTCCAGCTTTGGCCAATAGAAACTCTGATGTACTTGAATGAAGAAGTTATTATGAGTGCAGGGAAAGTTTGTTGAATGGAAATGTAATGCAACCGTACCTTAAGGCGCAATCTACTCTGGTACAGACCATTTCCTGATGGAAGTGGCAGTAGTTTTTCAAGCCCAGCATAGTTTCAGAAGATTCTCCTCTCAGGTTGAGCCACCACCAATCACAGGGTTAGAGCAGCTTATATCCTGAGAGACAGTACTGAGGGCAAAAAAAGGGCTTAAACACTCACTGTTGCTTGTTTCTTTTTACTCACGGTACTGTAGACGAGTGTATAAACCTTTTTATCAACTCAATTCAGTTTCTATCATCTGGATTTTGGCAGCTAGACACAGTTTTGAGAGATTTTAGTGCGTAAATCCAACTGAAATAAAAGTGGGGGATGAAACTGTAAATTGTGCCCACAGAGAATAAAATCCTCACCTTGCAAAGAGCTTCTCCATACTGCTGAGTTATTGATACTGGGTTGTGTCTTTTCTTTTTCCGTCATCCATCTATTTATCCCCTCCACACACCACAGGACACAACCCTTTGTCTTTCACAGACATTGAACCCTTCTTCTCCTATTACCTAACTCTTTCCTTCCATATTTTACACCCCATCCTCCTTTCTCCCTCCCTCCTGACACAGCGACCCGAGCCACGTTCTTTAGGCCTTCGCACATGTACAGTACAATGCCGCTGTTGTGCCATCGCTCTCTTTAAACTGCTGATGGATTTCTCTCTCTCAAGCCCCTCCTGACAGAATTTACAGCCACCCCCGTCGCTTTCTCCAGCCTCTCCTCCTCTTTCTTGCTCTCTCTGTCTGTCTCTCATCTTCCCTCATCACATTTAGAGGAAAATCAATTCTTCTTGGCTCAGGGTCAAAGAGCTGCAGCAGTGAGCATCTTGTCTGTCTTAGTTGGTTAGTTTGGGAGGGGCAGGAGGTAGTCATCAAATGAAGGGCCTCATGCACCACAGACAGGATACAGGCTGAGTAATGACACTAGATTCAATTTGAAAATGCCTTGTTTCCTACTGCAGTTACCGCTTGTATGCTACTAAATAAAATAGAAAACATTTGAGTTGTTTGTTATTTGAAAATTTGTTGAACCATGCTGCAGTGGAGGGTTAATAGGGTTAATCTCACATTTGTCTCGATTTGTGGCTTTTTCAGCAGTCTACAGTCTCTAACTTATTTAAAAGAGAGAACAACTCACTGCTCTGAAAAGATACTAACATATTACTACATAATTACAGTTGAAAGCAAAGCACAAAGCCTCTCATCATATTCAAGTGGTGAGATGGAATGAATCGAGCCAATGGGGTTAACTGCGCACACTTTTGGACAGTGTCTCCGTTGTTGTTGTGTGAGGAATTATTAAAAGCTTAAAAAGAGCTTGAGAGAGAAGTTCAGATCCATCTAGAGGCCTAGATATTGTCCCAGTGTTTCACTTAGTGTAGTTATATGTAGTGGCTGTGTGTCGACGCAGTCACAACAAATGTGTGGTATGTGGATGTCTGCATGAAATTGACCTCACACGGACTCTTTTGAATCCTCATGTATTCACAGATGCCCTAAGTATAATTCCTGCTTTACTGCGTCACCTTGTTAGACCAGGCCTGTTGGAATTTATTTCTCTTCTCTCTCTCTTTTTTAATTTGTTACACAAACGCTTCTGTCACTTTTTGTGTGTACAACTAAGTGGAACACCATGAAACAGAAGGTCGTCCAAACTAGTTTGTTTCGAGGATATCCCCACCTTTAAACAGTCAAATGATGACTTAAAGAAGGCTGCTGCAAGGACTTTGGGATAAAGTGTCCTCGAGATGGTCTAGGATCACCATCTATATTCAGAGCACTAATCTCAGCCATTAGAGGGGAAACAGGAAGCTGACCCAAGGTCAGTGCTGACCTTGTTCTGTTTGTACAGCCTGTCCCCTTCTTATCTACCAAAATCCATGCACATACTCACACACAGACGCACACACAAACTGGTCATTATTTGGCTAAGGCTTTAACTCATGGATGTTTCATGGGGATTAGACTTCATGGCTCACATTTGAGGCTACATCCACCCTCCTGCCACCACTAAACACGACAAATTGGACCCTGGGAGTGATGAAACAAGTATTCTTATTTCATCAAGCAAACTACTGTACAGTTAAATTCATCTGTCTCTGTTCACAATCAAAAATTAGCCTGAAGGAGTGTTTTCAATGAATGAAGTCTGTCTCTGCCTGCCAGTGCTGAAGTGTAACATATTTACTGTAGAGCAGCAGAAACAGATATAAATGTGACTGATATGAAGACAGAGATAAAGAAAGACTAGCAGAGAGGAAAAGAAAGTGATCCCCATCCCATCCTGGGTCAGGCCTGCCCCTCTGTAATCAGAGTTAGATTAGCTGCCCCTCTGCAGTCAGGACCACCTGGTTATATATAGAAACTGCAGCTTTGGGCCTGATCCTCCTCTAATGCCCCTCCACTCTTTGTTAACATCGCTGACATTCACAGGAGGGTCCGCCATGTCTGTGCATCAGAGAGAGAGAGAGAGAATGTGTCTGGTGTATGTCTCTCACCATCTCTGTCAGTGTGTGTGTGTGTTTGTACCCATCTCAGCCTCAGAGCTCAGCTGGCAGGCCGGTCAGTCAGGGTGTGGGGGTCTTACCGCAGACAGCTGGGTTTGAGGTTTGTCATCAGACTGAATGATGGAAGTTCTTGAGCACAGAAACAGCAGCGATGTTGGAGGTGGCCTAATGCAGAGCAGTTTGGAGTTAGGAGTTAGCGACCAACCCAACATAGGCGGTGACACCCTGAGTTGTGGGAGCCAGGGCAGGGCAGGGGGACTCGGACTGGACATGACCCCAGACAGGCTGGAGAGTGAGGGAATGAAGGAGGGACAGGCCGGGCCTCTTGAAGTATTCCACCCCGGGGTGTCCACAGATGAGCGGGCATCATCGATCGTAGTGGCCGAGGCCTTGAGGTGTCAGGTGAAGATAACAACACGGCGAAACCTTCATCTACGTATAGCCAATCACACGGCCCGGGATGTTTATGTACGGCTGGTGGGACATGGGGGCCGCATTGCTGAAATCAATACTGGACTTCCGAGAAATACACTGGAACAGAGTAAGAGTGGGTGACAGAAATGTGTTAGAAATACACTGAGACACGTTTATTGTAGCATCAGTTTCTTAAAGTTAAGTTGCATTCAGTGAAGTTTCATTGAACTGTGCATTTACTCAAGATTTCACATGTAAACTGCAGTTGATGGAAAAACCTGCTTTCCATCTTTCCGCTGTGATGCAGCTTTAAACATGTATTTATACATTTAAATCAGTATCAAAGAGGTGAAATGTGCAGTAAATGTGAGAGCTAGGGTTAGCCCAGTATTTGGTTTTCCAGGTTTGTTGTGGCAACTGCACGGTGCAAACTGCAAGAGTAATCTGTCAAACATGCTGAGACTCTCAAGAGACCTCTTCAAAGTGTGTGTGTGTGTGTGTGTGTGTGTGCGCAGCATGAATAAACATGTGTTGAAGTAACTACATATAATCCACTCTATTTATTAAGAAACCATTAATAGCTACAGTATAAGACAATGCTTTAGCATATCATGTGTTCTGTCTGGATGTGTGAAATATAGTGAGAGAGGTGGCAGACAACAACAGACTGAAGGATTCAGAAACACATTTTGAATATTTGGATGGTAGATTTGTGAATGGAAAGTTTGAATGAAGCCCTGCGCTGCTACAACACTGAATAATCAGCTCAAATGTTGGTTAATTTCATGCTTTTTAAGTTTTAAGACTGTTAATGAGATGGAAAAAACGTTTGTGACTCAAAACAAATTTAAGAATAAAGGTTTGAGAAAATATGATATTGGTTTTATTCAATATCAGAAATAATTTAATTTTAGTAACTACACTCCCTGTATTCTTTGTGAAATGTCTTTTAAGGAATATTTACATGGGCCTCAGTTTCACTTACCGGCCTTGTTTGGTAGTACCCTTGTTGGCTGACCTCAATCCTGTCCTTGCCCCCTGACTCTGAATCTTCATCACGGTTAGGAGTTATGCAAATGTACAGTGAGGACGCATTGTTGATGCCAAAGCGTTCCTAACATGTAATACAGTGCATCCTTTAACTTTATAGTCCCTTTTCTAACTTGACTATCAGGAATTTTGCTTCAGTTGCACTAGAAATCAATCAAATTAACAAGAAGAGCTGAGTAAACACACAGTACAGTAAATGATGGCTCTATTCTTGCACAACATGCAGAGTTGTACCGATAAATATACTTTAGAGGTGTTCTGGTGTTGATGATGCGGCTGCATGATAAATAGGTCTGTCAACACTTGCATAACATGGGAAAACCCTGCTCAGTGTGTGTATGAGTGTGTCTGTGCCTGTGTGTGTATGGGGCCATACAGGAATCTAGCGCCTCGTAGTGTGAATCACCTCATCAAAGGAGAGGCTTATGTCTGAGCTGACTGCACAGAAAGCCAGCAGTATTATAAATGAGAAAACAGCAACAGCAAAGTAACTAACTATTTTTTTAAATATAAAAATGTTTGTATATGAGGTCAGGGTTATTTAGTCCCAATGTGAAATCAACACTGTTACCATTTTAATATATATTATATATTCTGATACAGTGTAATTTTAATTCTTGGTAGCTGGACTGCACACATGTTGTGAATGAACAGTTTATAGTGAGTTTAAAATTGATTTTCTCAACAATCATAAGACTGACTGAATGATTATCTACAAACAGTCTGTGATAAGGTGAATATACAAAGGGGAGAAGGACTAATTTAAAAAATATTTAGCATTTACATTAGCTAGCTTCTCTAACTCAATTCAGTAGCTATAATACATTGAATTGATTAAAAACAGTGTTTGCTGCTCTCTGTCCTGCTGTTATTACACACAAGTTTGAGTGAGCCGCGAGCCTTCGACTTGCTCATAAACTCCTTCTGTCGAGCCGTGACGCTCAGCCCTCAAGCGGCCAGTGTAGTGTTTGTTAAAGGTAGCTAAAAAACATGAATACTGAATAAAAAACAATATTTGTTGTTTTTTAAAATGGTCGTCTTTCTCTAGACATTTAAAGTAAGCCACACAGCAGACTGTTGGGAAGGGATCTGTTCCAATGCTGGAGTTATTAGCTTAATTACAAATGTATATTTGGCTCTCTGTCTTTTTTCCATCCATCACCCACTTATCCTCGAGGGTCGCTTGCTGAGATTGGGGCGAGAGGGGGGGCTACACCCTGGGCAGGTCAGGTTAAATTAATTGGCAGCTCTAATTTGCCCGTAGGTGTGAATGTCAGCGTGAATGGTTGTCCATCTCTGTGTGACTGACCTGTCCACAGTGTACCGCACTGCTGGCTCAATGTCAGCTGGGATTGGCTCCAACCCAAGTTTTTTTTTAAACATGGAGTGAAATTGTTTTTATTCTTCTTCATTAATGCAGCTACCATAACACATTAAGCATGGGCCCATCATTTTGAGGAGGACCTGAGACCCATGGGTGAAGATTTTTCTTTGATTCGTATATTTTAATAAATTTGTATTCTGTTACAGTTAGTTCCTGTATGTGGTGTGCAACTGTGAGAAGGTGAATTGTGATAAATTCAGGCTATTACAGGCCATATCTGATGCAGTGTTTTACTGAAGCTGCAATCAGTAATGTTCAAATGTTGTTTGTTTTCATCACTCTAGTTCCAGCTTCCTCACTTCTGGTTTTTCTCCTCTCATTTTTCTCCTGCTTCACTGTTTTCAAGTTTAATGCCCCTCTCTCTGAGTTCAGTCGCCCGTTGCCTTTTTGCTGACTCTGTTTCCATGGTAGCTGTCACCACTCGCTCCTCAGGTTTTCCGCTGCCTCCCCCTCTGTCCTTATTTAATTTCTCTCAACTCTTATTTGAATCAGTTGGCATGGTAACTGATTAGTCAGTTTGGCCTTGAGTTTCTGTGGCTGATTTTATGTCTGTTTTGATAAATGGATGAAAAGAGAATTATGAGGTTGTGCTTCGCGGCAAAACAAACACACACATTGTCAGTATGATTTCCATATTTCAACCTTGCTTTCTGATCGGCTAGAGAAATAAATCTTAAATGTTGTTGCTACAAACTGTTTGATTGCCGTTGACTTTGGTTGTGGTTTTACATTTTGTTAGAAAGAGTACGACCGTTTTACTTCATGCACTTAGACCTGTTGCCTAATAGATTTTAAATTATGCAATGAGACATACTGTATTCTGAAAAATGGCTATTTCTGTGTGTTTGTGTGTGTGTGTGTGTGTGTGTGTGTGATCACGAGATAGAGTCTGGATTAGAGAGGTGTTGACAAGCTGAGTCATATGTCACTGGACATTTACCCCCCAGCTTCTACTTAATCCATAGCAGGAAGACAGCTGGACTTATTTTTTAACATTCACACACACACACACAGTTCATATGCAGATTCATCGTGTGCACTGGTGCATCAGTGATGTCTAAGAAACTCGTCACTGAATCAACACCTCGGGGTGAAGTGCACGCTGCATTGTCCCCTCTGTCGTCAGGCTACGTCACATCAGCAGAAATGACTGTTACACCGCAAAATTTTTTTTTATTTTAATTGAGCTATAAATGGAAAACGAACACAATGGTAGTTCAAACTGTATCATGAAGTCCGTCACAGCCTAAACTGTATTACTCACACAGTTAATGTCCCCCGCCAGCATCCGTACAGGATGAGTCCAATGACTTAAAGCTGTGACACCACATACACTTGCAGATAAAAACACACACACACACACACATATAACCATTTTAGTATCGGTCAACTAATAGTAAAATTGCCCTCTCATTTCAGGGTTGAAGTAAGGTTGGGTATTTACTGAGCAACATTAGACTGTTAATATTTCGCTTTCAGTATGGTGATATCTGTGGGTGCTCCATCCTTAAGAAATACAGAAACGCCATCATGTGGCTAATGTGTTCAACTGCAGCATAAAAAGCTGTAGGTTAGAGTGACCCTTTGTCCCAGTTGCATACAAAATAACATTTAACATTATGTTTTAATAATGTGTTATGCTAACAATAGACATTAAGAAACATACTGATAATTGGAAAAAGTCAAGTGATTGTTGATAAAGCTGCATCAGCTCAGAAAAATATAGTAATTATTTCTTACTATAAATAATAAAGTCACAGTTAAATTTATTTTTTACTTCTCCTTTAGCTGTGTAGCATCCTGTTTAAAAAGAAAGACATGTGATAGTGATAAGTAGTGGTAATTATTTGCATACTGTAAACTGACAAAATAGTGACTAAAAACTATTGATTATTAGTACCTGATGTACATTATACTATAGTATTAGTTAGAATATGAATGTGGGACAATGTAGAAATATTATCACTAATGGCACATATATAAATAAAGAATAAATTGCTGAAACAGCATTATCTTTATTAGTCTGATTTATGATGATGCTGTTTCACCGTATTTTGCTTTCTTATAAGAACTCAGAAACTATTTTTGATTGTCTTGAGTCTCACGTTAATGTAAGTTGTCATTGACTCATTAAACTGTACGATCTAATGTTTCTTCTGTCTTCACCAGGTGTTGTTGCTGTGAAGGACTCTGCCCCCTTGTCTCCTCTCAAACCTTCAGCCGGAACTGCAGACACAGAGCAACAAGGTACTGAACGAGGAAACTCTGCTGTAGGCAACGACCTACAGCTTCCCCGTGTTTCCATGGAAACTTCAAATCTCCGACCTCAGACGCCCAAAGCTGAAGATGAAGTGGAGGAAGATGACGAGGCCAGCGGCCCACTCACCATTTCTGAGCTTGTCTACAGGTCTGTAGAGGTTTTATAACAAATGATTTAAAGCAGCTATAATCAATATTTTTATAGTAATTTGCTTTGTAGCTTCTACGCTGGCCCTGAGAGCTCAAAGCACTGCAACTTAAAGAAAACAGAAAACACAATCAAATATAGAAAACAAACTGCAAATACTCAAATAGTAGAGACAACAATGAAAACTGTTTCCAAGGGACACTAAAAAGTGATGGGATACACTTGTTGTGATTCATGAAGTCTCTGTTCTGCTTTTTCTTTTGGTGGCACAAGCTTGTCCCTGCTGTGCCCAGTTCCCTGGAAACCACTTCTGTTGTTGTCTGAGCGATTTGCTTTCTGTATTTTCTTGTGTTTTCTCACTTTGAGGCATTTTTTCTAAATGCATGTGTCACCAAATTTGTGAATACGTTTGCTTAATTTGCTTTTGTTTTGTCTATTTGCCTGTGTTTTCTTAAGCTGCTGTGTGTTGAGCTCTCAGCTCATTGTTCTGGTTTTTCCAGTCTGCAACTTTACTGTTTTGGTTCACTTTAACTGCTCTCATAGTATTGGGTTTTCTGTGAAGAAGCTCAAAGTGAAACCCCACTGTACACTACCTGCTCAGCAGCAAACAGAAGACAATGACAAAAGTTAGAAACTGGTGAACATAGTGAAACATTTAGCAGCTAAGAGACAGATATTTCCCTCAGGAGTTGGTGGAGACTGAATATTGGAGTCACATTAGTCGGGTGAGAACAAACACGGCTCTGATGTTGCACCATATCTGCTGGATGTGTGAATAAGCCACTGCTTGCAAAAAAATTCACCATATCAGTGTAAAGTGTGATAATATGTCAGTGATGTGTTTACAGCTTGTTTCTTAATTCATAATTAAGTCATTTCTGGTACTTTGATTGAAGAGAGAAGACAGAAGAAATAATCTATTTAATACATAAACCACCATAACCACTTCTCTGGAGGTCGTCAACAGCCCTTCTGGAGCATGAAAGCACTCTACATTAATGCTTTAATTACTAGAAATCAATAGAACATAGGTTGACAGTAGATATACCACAGAAGTGGCTTCATGTTTATCCCCAGTGAATAACAAATTAATAGTTAACAGTGGTAGATAACATACACTGACAGTCACTTATAAAAGTGCTGTGATATCTCCTTTTGAGAAATGTTCTAAATGTGTTTGAATATCTTCCCTCACTTCTCCAGCCCCTGCGCCAGCATGCTTCCCACCCCAGTGGACGACAGTCAGGGAGGCGTCGACTTGCTCTTCTCCTCTCCAGTGCAGAGCCCTGCCAGACTGCTGAGGGAGCTCCATGCAGACCCCGACATCCAGGCCCAGCTGGAGGCTGAGAGGGAGCGAGATCGGGCCTATGAACGCACCAGACTGGCTGCTAGAAGTCGAATGGGTGGGGTCCTGAGCAGCAGCCTGCGCCTGCTGTCGTCCAATGAGAGAGTCAACGCATGTGTGCTGAGCGTGGCCCGCTTTGTTGCCGTGGTAATGGGCGTCCTGCTCGTCACTGTACCCACACTGCTGCTACTGCTGGAGTCAGACATCGACGTGTCGTTCCTCCACGAGATCCGCCAGACGCCAGAGTTTGAGCAGTTTCACTACGAGTATTACTGCCCGCTTCGGCGCTGGATCCTGTGTAGGATCAGCATGGCCATGGAGAACATCTGGTCAGACTGAAGAGGAGAAGGAGGAGAGGGGAAAGGAGAGAGTGAGGAGTCACAATTATGCCCAAATGTCTGTCTTAACATGTAATTTCATCTTATATTCAGTCTTAACAACTGGTGTTTCTTGACATAAAAAGAGCCAGTCTGCCAATGGGATGAAATGAATTCCCTTGTTAAAGAGTGAATTCAATTTATTTTATAAGCGGGTACACAAAACTGTAGTAGGGTTTACTATAAATAGGCCTCAGATGGAAACACTATCAGAGTGAGGACGTCTCTGTTTGAGTTACATTGAAACAAGTACATTTGTTTCACCTGTTTGGCAGCATAATTTACTGTCTCGAAGAAGAGAGAAATAAGATTTTAAACATAGGATCCAATCACTTGTTAAGATAGACACTTCTGGCGGTGATGAACTGAAAAGAAAGAGGACAAGAAAAGCTGCAAGTGCTCAAGAGAGAACCTGTGGAAGGGAGAGATTGCCATGGTCAGAGAAATAGTCACAACAAGATTCGAAAAAAGTGGTTGGTTTGGTATTAATAGAAGTTTTAATGGTCTGTTCACTCCTGACGCTGACAAGCTGATGCAAAGACTCTTTGGTTAATATCACCAACCATTCTGATTGGTTCTCGCCCTCAGAGCAGAGCACCTGATTGGTCCCAGAGCCTGTCAGTCATGACGGAGTGGGTGGGGACAGAAAGAGAAATGATTTATTTGTCACTGAACGCAACAATAGCCACAGTCAGAGGTACAATATATATATTTAAAAAGAAAAGAGAAATATTGATAATTAATACCGATCTTAAATAAGTTGTTTTTAACGTTTTGTACATTTTTATGTGATCCAGAACTTTCAGGAATTTTTCAGTCAGAGGATCTACTTTGAGCTTATTTTGAAATTAAGAGTTTACAAAAGATTACAAAAAAAAGCAAATTTATTGAAGTTTATCGGGGTGATGGGTGTTGAGAAAATTTTAAACTATTTTTTAAGACTACCGTCAGCGTTTGTTGACCCGGTAGCACCCTGGGTTTTTCCTACAGAGGCTATAGCACAAATATTTTACACAGACCACAGATTACAGCTGTTTCAGATTATGTGATGTCATTTTGGAAACAGGAGGGCGGCAACAGAGAAACTTTAGTCTGTTTGTGATGATGTGTTTTTGTTGAACTTCTAAACGTCTTCAGAGCTAAGTGTAAGCTCACTAATCAAGGCATCTTTTAGTGTGCTTTAAGAGAGTTTTAACATAAACCGTATAGGGGAGAAAAGATTATTTGTAGGCTTATGAGAAGAAGTGGAAAATAGTATTGTTCGTCGATGGTGTGGAGCTCTGTATGTGTTTCAGAGGGATTTGAAGTGATGATGCATTCAAAATGCCACAGAGGAACAGGTGTCCAACCACACTGCTGGTACGTGACACACGATTGGACAAGTGATGCGTTTAATGGTCTAAATCTCTCAGACAGGTTGCTCTTTGGTCGTTGATGTTTTGATCAGACCGAATGAACATGGTAGGAGTACAGTTGCAGGTATTTAACTTCAGATCAGCATTCATGTCACAAATCAAATTTGAAATGATTTGTAGCCATTTCCAAGAGGATCTGTGATGACATTATGTTGAGCATCCTGTGTTTATCATTTTAATGACTGCAACTGTTTACACCCTTAAACAGAGTACAGGACGGTAATTTTCTCATTTTTACGTCAGTGACCGACAAGTCAGGAGTTGTGGGTGGGGAATACGTTTCAAAGTTTAAGTAGATATAAAGATGTGTTCATTGACATTCACTGTTGATATGGTTGAGGTTCCTAAAAAGTCTGGAGTCAAAGAATAACAATATCAAACATAAAACTGAGAAAGGATGCAAAAACAAAATTAAAAACCATCTGTTTGGTACAAAAAATTAGAACAAAGAATGAACTTTACATTGTCACTTTATACAGTTAATTTGTGTCAAAATATGTTGGGCTTTGTTTTACAGTATATCATGTTGTCTATTTTGACATTACACAAAGGTCACAGTGTGAAACTGAGACGTAACCTTGTGACTTAATCAGACCTGAAGCTCTGATGAGAAAAGCATCAGTCACTTTTGGGAACTGACAGCCATCGCCATGTGATTGTTCATCGTACAGACAGTGCCTGTCAGTTGTAGTATAGAGTGGCTTTGAATGGAGAGGAGAACAGAGAGGTGCAGCAGTGAGAAATGACTTCAGATCAAATGAAAACAGATGTTTTATTTTAAAAAAAAAAGGTTTTGTTCAAGATGTAGTTCGATTTGGATCAACTTCTCAGGAAAGGGCATTAGCAGTTTATGTTCAAAATACAAATATATGTCTAAAGAAATACAGAAAATATATAAAAATAAAGAATATCACAGCATACACCATATAGTTTATCCATAACATGCATACATGTCTTGCTATTATGAATATCCAAACACTGTATGTATTCATACTGAGTCTGTAGCCAGACATAAATATGCCTGCAGACTGTCTGTGTTGCTGTAGTCTCATTTGACTCAACTACGTATGCATCCATGTCATTATAATGAAAACAAAAAGTCTTGACTGTTGATCGCCAGCAATCACAGTTTGGTCATCATAGCTGAACCTCTATAACTGCACTCTGGCGCTGAGCTCTCACAGTATTTAGGCTCTTATAAAGAACTAAGGCTTTATTTTCAGACTCACTGTCCACACTGTTTGGCTGCTACAGAGGCCTCTGCAGCGCACATCACCACCAACGCCCTCTCATTATAATCGATCAAATGTTGCTGCCTCATATTACCAGCTGTGTTGTCATGTAACTCTGTAGACTTTATGCATTAACAAGCTTTATGCATATAGAAAATATGCAGTAACAACAGAAACACGCTTGTTTGGGACAAAGCATTTATTTTCCTACTACAGTACATGCACTGAGTTTCGATGATGAAACCAAGCGAAGGGCCAAACCACTATGATGACGACGTTTGAATTTAACATTACAGACGCTGAGATAAAAAACAGCTTCACTGTAGTGGATGGAGCTGATCTGTATGCACTGCTAAATGATCACCATCATCATGATAACTAACAGAGGGGGGTATCATCATGAACTGTCATCCTTGTCTTAGCTGTTGCTCCTCCACATGCACCAAAATGCTCGAGCGATTCACTGTAGATTTAAAATAAAAAATACTATGTATAGGCTTCGTGTACACAGCTGTACAGACATAGATTGTCCCCGGCTTTTGGTCCTTTATTTCTGTGCTTCATCCTCCTCTTAACTAACCCGGGGTATCTCTCACTCGCCTCTTTTTGCTGACCTCTCCATGCAAATTGCATGACCTCATCTGTAAATACTGTGTTTATAGTTGTGGCAAGAAAACCCAATCTGGGTAAAGATTTCCTTTCTTTCTTCCCTCTGCGTGTCTTGTCTGTGTAAAGCAATTTAGATATAGGCTTGGCTGTCTTGACCATCTTAAATGAATGCATGTTCTCTGTGTTTTTACCAAGACGAGGGGAAATAAGATAAGAGTTTGAGACATTAAAAGGCTTTTCTTTTAATCAACATTAGGCATTTAAAAACTAAACACATCCTTGCAGTGTGCTTTGGACTTCATTTTAATTACTGATTTGACAAAACTGAATAAATGTGGTTGCTAATTCTGTTAGCTTCCTTTCGATTGATCCAAAAGCAAAATAACATTTTAAATTATGTCTCAGCACAAAAGGGAAATCTTCTTGACGGCTGCTTGAAAAAGATCATTTTACAATCTTTTAAAATGCAGCTCTAAAATGTTTAAATAGTTAGCTTATTGTGCTTTTATTGTGTGTGTGTGTGTGTGTGTGTGTGTGTATGTGTAAATCATTAAAGCCAGACGCTAAATGCTAACGCTAACATCTAACCTCATTACTAACAGAGCATGCTATTAACTGAATCAATTGAATTCAGAAGCATTAATTGTTTAGATGTTCAGTTTTTAAGATGTTTAAAGAACACTGAACCGAGAATACACCTCAACTCGTCACAAACAACTAAAGGCCTTTCGGTTCTGTGAAACAACAGACCTTTGGCCCCATATGACACTGTAGCATTATTATATTAGTTTGTAGCTCATTTATCAGTTAAGCAGCCTTTATGAGTTTAAAAGGGACTTTCACCCCTTTGAGATTTAGCTCTTGTTTTGAGCTACTGAACTTGAGTTCCTGTGTTTTACAAACAGCATATAGATGGACCGAGAGTACAACTTTTGTTGCCTGTACTTAAAAAAAACTGTGATTAAAAACATCGTCCAGATCACGCACCAGTTGATGTCATATCTGAGGTATTACTTCATACAAATCCAGAAGTTTCTGACATGAGTCAAGTATTTACAAACCTTAAATTTAATTACCTGCCTTTAAGTATCAGTGAAAATAAAACCAACTAAAATGCTTTAAAGTCAACCAACTCCTGGAATTCAAACCTGTTTCAACGTAATACACAAATACTGCTTTTAATTTATTTATTTAAGATTTTAAATATTTGAACTCAGGTCTACTATATGCAAAATTATTGGACATCACATGGTATAAGAGAAAAATAAGCTGTTGTTTAGTATATTATTTCAATGTTGTGTGGGCATGTACAGTAGCAGATTCTATTGCACGGTCACTTTGTTGTTTTTGATTGTTTGTCAAACTGATTGTTTTGTTGTTTTTATTAGTTAGTCAGATAATTTTATTTATTTTTTTGTCATTCAGTCTCTTTTAATAAGAAACTCTGGGAGATTTAATTTCAGAAGAATCAGAAAAAATAAAAAAATCCCTAAGTAATGACCCCCTTTCTTCTTCTGGGACAACCAAGCCTTATAAACTTTGTGAAGTGAAAATTTTGAATGTTTGTATGTTATAAAAGAAAACATGGATTGTTTTATATGTTAATACTGCCACAATAAAGCTCCCTAATGAATATATATTGAAATATGGCGCCTAAAGTGTGGATTATTTTACGACTTTATGACTTTGTTTATTATGGTTTTTAATGGTTTGTGTATTTAATCTCTGAATCATACCTGTATAAGAAAATAATTGTTCTCTTTCTCAATAATCATCAGTACACATTGAAGTATGAACCTGAGATTCAAAAAGTTTCTCAAAGCTTTGTCTCCCTCATGTGGTGTGAGTCAGATTGCTCACTGTTGGCGTCGCTATGGTGATGTTTGTGTGAGCAACACAAGATTTCTGGGATCCAAGGAGCGTTTACTATCAGGAGCTGACTGCAGTAGACTAGAATCTATCTATCTCTACTCATCTAACTTCACTGGATGAGAAAAAGTCCTTTTTCAAGCAGAAAACTTCTTCATCCACGTCAGCTCTACTACCCGACTCTACAAGAGGGATTGTGCTGAAATAAATAGGAGAGAGGAAATCTTTAGGGTAAGACTGGCGGTGGAGTAGCTGTTGTTTTATGATTTTAAAAGATAATATCAAACTCTCAGTCATATTGAGAATAATTACATAAACAGGAAGCAGCAGGTGTTGACTATGCTATTATAAAAGATAATATCAAACTCTCAGTCATATTGAGAATAATTACATAAACAGGAAGCAGCAGGTGTTGACTATGCGTGATTATTATTTTTGTGTAATTCATTGAAATGGTTGTTTTGTTTCTGCTGTTTTATTAGGGTTGTGTTATCAGGAAGGAAAATAACCCTGCTGCACAAACATTAAATTAATGCATCTATGACAATGGATAAATCTAAAATACGTGAGCCACAGATGACTTTTCAAGCAGTAACACCAACTGTGGACACACATCCTATTACAAGAGCAGGACATAGTGTGGCTGAGCTCCTAGAGGATTCTGGGAATCGTAGGCAGCTCATCAACCAGGAGCTGAGCCTTCATCTTCTCAATGACTCTCTCTTCAGTGAGCAGCAGAAGCTGAGACATGTGTTGGACTGGGCTCACAGTTTCCTCAGCAATGGGTCAGAGATTCACTATAAATTCTGCAGAGCTGACAGCTTGATATTAGCTGACGAAGAGCAAAGGGAAACACAGAATAATTCAGCTGTATGTAAGCATTCATCTGCAGCTAAATGCCATCATCCTGTTTCCTACACTGCAGGTGGTAATGAGGTATTAGAAGGAGAAGAAGGGAGTATGGAGAAGGTTTGGCAACTTGAACCATCGAATTATGAGAACAATGAATCAAACAATCACCTTTGTGCATGTAAACCTCCTTTCTCAGATGATCCCTGCATCCCGTTATCCTTTACCCCGGAGAGAGATGGGCTAACTTGGCCTGAGTACAGAGAAGCTCCTGAAAATATGCAGCTTCAGGATTCCACCAATAAACAAACTAACATGCAAGACATGAACTGCAGAAAAGGCAGGCGGTTCATGTTTAATCAAAGACAATGTACCAACTCATCAGACAGAAACACAAATCAGTTGCTTGCATTGAATGGTGCAACAGACTTGATCCAGGACTCCACATCATGCTGGATGTTTGATACTACAAGGAACCTGAAACTGAGTTATAAAACAGCTGGAGCTCCTTCAGAAAGAGACATATCAGGACATCAGATGGAGCAGAGCAAAGTAAAGGTTGATGGGAAACTGAGAACAAAGAGGGAAGTTGTAAGGAAGATAAGTAAAGATCAAGAATCTAGCTCTGCTTCTGTGGTGTATGCAAATAATAACATAGGTGACAGTGAGCCTGAGAAGACACATGAACGAATGGAAAAGACTTCAAACCTCAGTTATACCCGTAATTTGAAAGTACCACCAACGTTGACTGTATATGAGCAGTACCAGCTTTGCGTGGACCGATTGCATCACCTCAGACGAAGACAAAGCCAACATGTTGAACCAGGATGCTTCATGGAGTCACCTGCAAAAGAGAGAACAACCTCGGAAGAAATGGCAGCACCAGTTGAAGCACCAGTCCTGCTGCCTACATCTGGCTTTGAATTGACCTCTTCCCCCACAAATCCTCAGATTAAAAAACATCTTAACAAAAGGGTTGAAGAAGCAAAAATCACAAAGGAGAAGAGTTCAGACGTGATTCATGAAAACGAGGACAGATCTAAGTACAAAAGAAATACGGCAACACTAACTGAACAGGGACAGACCAAACATTGTGACAAGAAAACCTGTGCTGCCATTTGTGCTGAGAGTAAAACATATTTGGACCTTGATCACAACAAATGTGGTGAATTAATAAAGGGAAGTGATAATCTTATTAACACATCTATGAAGCACCTGGGGACTGCACCTGGTGATAATGTTCACGCTGTGGAGGAGAGTGCTGCACTCACCCCAAACCCAGGTATTGAACATCATATATGAAGGCAATTTAATGTTGTAGACTATACAGTCTAGGGTTGTGGTTCCCAACCTAAAAAGACAGTAAAACAGAAATGGAATATAATATTCATATGTTTTCATTAGTGTCTAATCAGCTGAATATAGGAATCGTTGTGTTTTCATTACCTTGAGACCAATGAGACGTTTTTATCTACAGGAGGGTTGCCTTCCATGTTGAACTGCCATGTTTCTACAGTAGCTCATTATGAACAAACTGGTTGTAGATAGGGCCCTATGTGGTTGTGTTTGCTAGTTTCGTGGCCACCATAGTTTCTCCCACACACTTCCCAGCCCGTTCTCATTCCCACATACAGACATGAGCTGTGTTCAGCTTGCTGCAATCTGCAAACTTCACCACTAGATGCCACTAAATCCTACACACTGGTCCTTTAAGTCTTCTCTTGTCATTTGCCCTTGTTCATATAGAGGCCAAATAGGTGAAACAATAGATCATGATAATGATTTGTATATGTGTTTGAGTGTGCATGAATATATTGTTTGTATTTGTCTGTGTGTATCTTTTTGTTCAGGTTCGTTTCCAAAGAGAATCGGATGTAATGCAGAAGTAAAGTGTTGTCGGAGTCGTGTCAAAGGTCAAAAGAAAAAAGCTGGTGGTCGAGGTGCCTCATTGAAACTCTGTGAAAAGTCAAGTGTCTCCCTGTCTTCTCCCAGTAAAGAAATATTGCAAAGGTAAGGTATAGATAAAGTGCCAAATACGTCCATGGACATCAATTTGAATTTGTTACTGTACCTTCAAAATAAGCCAGTAATATTCACCTGAATTCAGCTTATTAAATAACTTATTCTCTCAGTTTTGAGTTTCCTTGCAAACAAAAATCCACAATCTGATAAAAAGCAACATAACTTACCAAAACATGAAAATATATAGGCCTACATTTAGGGGTCGCGTAGGTACGGAAGCCAAGAACGGCCATGGATTTTTTTTTTAATGCACTGTTATATTGTGATAACGTCAAGATAACAAAGATCGTTTTCTCGAGATAACTAATTA